ACGTAATAAAATAATAATAATAATAATTCGGGAATACCTTTTAAATGTTCCTTGCATCCAACAATATCTGATGCGATTATACGTCTCTCCTTGATGGTTATCTCGTGCGCTGATTGGCCATGGGAGGGAGTCTTATACGTTATCAACCCGCTGATTGGCTGTGAGAAGGGTTATATATCTTTTCAGTGCGATCATTGGCTGTGTGAAGGACAACACCTGGTATGCGTGCGTTCATTGGCTGTTAAATGCATCGGTGCGCTCATTGGCACTAAATATAAGTATCTATGCGCTCATTGGCTGTCAAAAACACTAAATATGAGTATCTATGCGCTCATTGGCTGTCAAAAACACTAAATATAAGTATCTATGCGCTCATTGGCTGTCAAAAACACTAAATATACGTATCTATGCGCTCATTGGTTGGCATCAAAGCTGACGATAATGCTATTGGCTGGCAGGTCAACAGAATTAGGGTGAAGCCATAACACCATTAAGTTATACTGTACTGTCAAACCTTCCAAATAAACGCCAACATAAGTCGCTTTTGTTTGGTTCTGTTTGTTTACTTAAATCAGGTAAACAATAGTCCAGTTTGTATGAAATAAATGTAAACAATGGTTTTGTTTATTGCGGGAAGCAAGGGAGTATTCTAGGCCTAGGTAGAAATATTTTTAACATGCCTAAATCAAGGACAAAATTCACGTACATGGTAAATAAAAGTGTTCTTAACCCTAAATCAAGGACACTTCACGTACGTAATAATCAAATGTGTTCTACTTACTTAAATCAAGTCAAAACAACACAAAAAATCATAAATCAACCAGAAAAAAGTAATAATTTCTCGTCTTGTCATCATCATCATAATCATCATCATCATCATTCTCATCATTATCATTGTCATCATCCACCTCTTGAAAAAAAAACAGTTCGAACTCATTTCAAAATTACATAATTACATACAAAAGAGCGTAATTAAATATAACTAAATAGATTTATACATTACCATCTGGGTCAACTACTTCCTCAACCAATTAATTACATTGTAGCGAGGATAATTAATTAAGATTTACACCGCTAAATAACAAATAATAATAATAACTTAAAAACTAACTCTCTCTCTCTCTCTCTCTCTCTCTCTCTCTCTCTCTCTCTCTCTCTCTCTCTCTGACGTAATTTCAACCTGAAGTCAATTTAATGGCCCTATTAAAATCAGGGTCCTATAAGAATTAGTCCGGTCTTAATAGGCCCTAGGTTGGGGCCTATTAAGACGGGAGAGAAAGAGGGAGAATAAGAACGGTGAGGAGGGAGGAGAAGGAGAGACGAAGATAAAACTAGTGAAAGTAAACGGCAGGAGGAAGAGGAAAGAGGAGAGGAAAGGAGAGGAGGAAAACAAGAAGTAGGTAGAAGGATGAGAGGGAAAACCAGGAGAAAGAGTGAATAGACACGGAAGAGAGAGAAACAACGGGAAAGGGAAGAAAAGAGAACAGGGAGAAGAGAAATAAACATGTTAAAAGAGAAATAATGGTAAAAATTAACTAAAAACAGGAAATTAAAGGTGTTTTAAAAATGATTAAAAAACTACAGCTGATGCTAACTTCCTATTATAGAGCCAAACGACACGCACACGCACACCACACACACACACACACACACACACACACACACACACACACACACATTTTATATAAGCACAATGCATGAAAGAAAGACATATGGAAAATTAAATATGAAAATTGTACACCATTTAAATCACAAGTAATTATTACCGCCTCATTAAATCAAATAATAAGTACGTCTAAAATGTTCTCAATATTACGAGTGAAAAACCATTGATTATTTTATGACTGAGTGCATGAGAGCCCTTCTAGGTCTCAACCCCCGTGCATGATTATCTCAGTTATCAACCGCCGTGCATGATTATTCTCAGATATCCTGCATGATTATCTCTGTTATCAACCCCAAGCATGATTATCTCTCAGTTATCAACCCCCGTGCATGATTATCTCTCAGTTATCAACCCCGTGCATGATTATCTCAGTTATCAACCCCTGTGCATGATTATCTCTCAGTTATCATCCCCCGAGCATGATTACTTCTCAGTTATCATCCCCGAGCATGATTATCTCTCAGTTATCATCCCCGTGCATGATTATCTCTCAGTTATCATCCCCGTGCATGATTATCTCGTTATCAACCCCCGTGCATGATTATCTCTCAGTTATCAACCCCCGTGCATGATTATCTCTCAGTTATCATCCCCGAGCATGATTATCTTCGTTATCATCCCCCGAGCATGATATCTCAGTTATCATCCCCCGAGCATGATTATCTCTCAGTTAACATCCCCATGATTATCTCAGTTATCATCCCCGTGCATGATTATCTCAGTTATCAACCCCCGTGCATGATTATCTCTCAGTTATCAACCCCTGAGCATTATCTCTCAGTTATCATCCCCGAGCATGATTATCTCTCAGTTATCATCCCCGAGCATGATTATCTTCAGTTATCATCCCCGAGCATGATTATCTCTCAGTTATCATCCCCCGAGCATGATTATCTCTCAGTTATCATCATCCCTGCATGATTATCTCAGTTATCATCCCCCGTGCATGATTATCTCAGTTATCATCCCCGTGCATGATATCTCCCATATCATCCCCGTGCATGATTATCTCTCAGTTACCAACCCCGTGCATGATTATCTCTAGTTATCAACCCCCGTGCATGATTATCTTCAGTTATCATCCCCGTGCATGATTATCTCTCAGTTATCATCCCCGAGCATGATTATCTCTCAGTTATCATCCCCCGTGCACGATTATCTCTCAGTTATCAACCCCGTGCATGATTATCTCTCAGTTATCAACACCCGTGCATGATTATCTCTGTTATCAACCCCAAGCATGATTATCTCTCAGTTATCAACCTGCATGATTATCTCTCAGTTATTATCCCCCGTGCATGATTATTCTCAGTTATCATCCCCGTGCATGATTATCTCTCAGTTATCATCCCCATGCATGATTATCTTCAGTTATCATCCCCGTGCATGATTATCTCTCAGTTATCATCCCCGTGCATGATTATCTCAGTTATCATCCCCGAGCATGATTATCTCAGTTATCATCCCCATGCATGATTATCTCTCAGTTATCATCCCCCATGCATGATTATCTCAGTATCATCCCCGTGCATGATTATCTTCTCAGTTATCATCCCCGTGCATGATTATCTCTCAGTTATCATCCCCCGAGCATGATTATCTCTCAGTTATCATCCCCGTATGATACACCCCACAGTTACTAACCCCCAATGGATGATAACTACCCAATTATACTCCCTCAATCTGATAATTCCCACTCATCATTTTCATGCATGACCAATCCCAGTCCTAATTATCACCCCCATTGCATGACACCATCGAATTCATCACCATCTTGCATGACAACTACATAAATATCATTCCTTTGTCATGAACCCCCCCCTCCACCCTCCTCTTCCTTGTGCATGGTAGTTCTCAATCATCCTTCCCATGCATGATGTTGCTGATTGGTTACCACCTTCTTACACCCATCTGCATGACAGCTCAACAAAATACTCCTGAATCTTAGCCAAATACTTCAGTCTTTATTTTCACTTATAAAAATAATATTCAACTCTCAGGCTTGACAAATACTCTTAAATCTGAATAAAATACAAAACATTTAAAGACTTGAAAATTGTAGTGATCTCTCTCTCAACACACACACACAGTTGAGGCGTTCTCAATATATGGCAGCCCACTATGACTCAGCAAACCTAACACAACAGACCCCCCAGGCTGAAAAAATTTCCTACAGTAAACACCCTAACGCTACCTGGAAGGGAGGGGTGAGAGGGGGGGTTGGAGTAGGTAGAGGGGAGGGGTGAGAGATGGGGGGTTAGGTTAGGTTGTTTCATCATTAGGTGAAATAATATCTAGGGTGTCTAATCTTCAGGTGATCTAATTGTCTCTCTCACTTAAATGGTTATAACACAATGCCTTAAATTACTAAAAATATGGATCTTATATACAAACACACCGTCACCAGGAACCCGTAATTAGTTTGTTAGTTTTAATTAGTTAGTCAGGTAGTTAGTTAGTTAAGACACATCCTCATATCTCTTAGTAAATGAAAAGAGAAAAAATACTCTACTGAATCTTATGAGTCACACACACACACACACACACACACACACACACACACACACACACACTACTCCACCCCCTCCCACTCATCTCTCTTCTCCCACCTTCCTGCAAACACTCATCCTCGCTCCTCTTGCATCACACGCTTCTCTTGACACTCTGAGTACGAGAGCGCACTCACTCTCTCCACGTAGGGATACTCCAGCGTCTGAATAGGCCCTTGAGTGCAGGTGACGGCTCAGTAGGCTCAGGTGAGTACAGGTGAATGTTAAAAGGTTCAGGTGAGTGTAGGTGAATGTTTTAAAGGTTCAGGTGAGTGCAGGTGAGGTCAAAGAAGGTTCAGGTGAGTGTAGGTGAATGTTTTAAAGGTTCAGGTGAGTGCAGGTGAGGTCAAAGAAGGTTCAGGTGAATTTTGAGTTGGATTAGGTGAGTGAACGTAAAGGAGAACTACACCTGGGATCTCTTAATGAGGCTCAACTTGATTAACAGGTGTGTCAGTACAGGTGATCTGCACAAGAGGGGACTAAGGTTCAAATACGAAGCATATGAGAGACCTTAGTGGTTCTTAGAGACAGTCAGCCCTTAGTAGTGTGGTTTCTAAAGAGAGCCCTTAGACGTAATGGTTTCTACATCCAGCCCTTAGTATATATTGTAATTCTCAAAGACAACCAGCCCTTAGTAAAACATCCTCTGCACAGCCTCTTACTCGACGAAGCTCATAGGTACAGCCCTTAGTTGACGAAGCTCATACGTACAGCCCTTAGCAGACCTTAAGCACCCATCACCAGCCCCCTTAAAAACCCACAACCGTTCCCAAACGATAACTTACCATCATCATCCTGTCTAGGTATGCAGCACGAATAGGTACAGCCTGGTTGATCAGAGGTCATAGAAGGCTAGTTGGGAGCAGCCGACCTGTGGGGGTAGAGAAGAACCCCTGAATCCCAATTTTTCTCTGTTGTTTTTCTTTGTTTTTTTAATGTTACACCAATCACAAGCTTCCTTCACTCTACAGAATAGTTATCATTGGTTGCCTCCAGTGCCCGGAAAGCAGCACAGTGAGGAAAATAAATGACATAAGGTTTCTTTTATTTATGATACTGACATAAGTGATTGTGTGTGTGTGTGTGTGTGTGTGAAAGAAACTGAGTAAGGTTGAGGTTTCAGACAATCTCAGAAACCAAGTAAATGTACGTAAATAAATAAGGGTTCTTGTATTTAAACAGACCAATAAATTATGTAAAATATATCCAAAATAATTCATAGAATCACAGGAAGGAACAAAGAGAGTGAGAGAAATGTAATAAATCTTCCTTCTGTAAAAATAAAGTTAAATAATGTATTAAAACAAAAGAAAATAAAACAAAAATAAAAACCCAATTATGTATTAAAACAAAAGAATCTAAAAATAAAATATTGCATTGAAAAACATATCAAAATAAGGTAAAAAAAAATACGATAATATGCCCAAATAAAGTGAGTTTCTTTAAGTATAAGACATATTAAAGAAAAAAGTTCCTATCTATCAAGGAACGTAATCTAGTTTTCTTAATAAAATCAGATGGTATAAACATAAATACACATAAATTAAATTAGAAGAAAAACCAGTGAAAGCTTCAACTATACCAAAAAGCTTCATGGGGGGGTTCACACAGAAACTTAATCTAAGCTTATTTGAGAGAAGTTAATCAATTTAAATAAACACTATAAGCTTAGTTTACATAGAAGACGTAAGGAGACAAGGTAACCATTTTAAAACTTTCACTTTAAGCTTGAAATGACAATAATCTAAGCTTACTTTATCGCGAACCAAAAATCAACCAAACCCCAGAAATAACTAATATTTTCCTTAACCAACACCACACACAATGCATCCTCCACCTCACCCACCAACAATAAAAAAACACCATAACTCTGGACCTTATAGACAGAAATTAATGATTCTTGAACTGTCTTGAGATCTGGTCACAATACATCCACACACACAGTTTCATTAAAATCCATTCATATTTATCCAAGTTATCACGTGGACAAAACTCACAGACGGTCAAACACACACATGGATGGAAAAACAATAATTCCTATGGCTGCCTCCACTCCCAAGTCATCCCTGGAGTCTTTTTTTTTATTCTTTTACAGTATAATAAAAAATAAAAAGCCCAATAAAAGATGTATTGAGGTCTGGCAGCATCTTGGAACAACTAATAAAGATTTCATTCACTGATAAATAATAAAATAATAATTACAGTAGTTGTTTTTCAGTATAAATTATTGGCTTCCTTCACTATCGATTTGGTTTAGTGTCAATGGACCAATTATAGTCTTGCTCAGGTGTCCAACTTCAAAACAATCAATGAAGTTGTAGTGTAATTTAGGTTAGTGTCCAATAATGTAAATAATGAGATAAATAACAAATAAGATAACAAGTAAAAACAAAACAAAAACAACAATAAACCCTTAAATGAAAATACCCGTGATAATAATATTAAAAACAACAAAAATAATAAAAATCAAAACTGAAAAAAAATTAATTACAATAAAATTAACAAAAAATAATAATAAATAAATCAAGAACGAAAACAAACGACAAAAGAACGAAAACTTTACATCTCTTCATTTTCTTACGTTTATTTTTATCTGCGTTTCTCCTTCACATCCTTTCGTCCACCACAGCCTAAATAAATGACTAGATAGATTTTTTTTTATTTCTTCTAAAGATGGTTAAAAGCTCTTCTTCTGTGTGTGCCTGTTTGTCTATTCAGCTGTCTGTCTGTCGTCTGTCTGACCTCTTTATCGCCTGCCTGTCTAACTGTCTTTTTTTCTCATCTGTATTCTCTCTGACGTCTGTCTGTCTGTCTGACTCTATTTATCTGCCTGCCTGTCTAACTGTCTTTTTTCTCAATCTGTATCTCTTCCTCTGCCTGTCTGACTGTCTGTCTGTATGTCTGTCTCTCTGAGCTTGTCTATCTGCATGTCTCTCTCTTCTTTCTCCCACTTTCCCTCCCCCCTGTCTGTCTCTCTTTCCCTTTTTTAATGCTTCTTCCCCTTCTCTCCCCTTCCTCGTTCTAGGTCATTCTCTCTCCCATTAATTCCCTTCCCATCCCCCTGGCAACTTACCTCCGTTCCTTCCTCCCGTCACGTCGCCCCTGACAACTGCTTCTTCCATCCTCCTCCTCCTCCTCCTCCTCCTCCTCCTCCTCCTCCTCCCTCCTCCTCCTCCTCTTCTTCTTCTTCCTCTCATTTTATCTCTCTCTCTCATCCTTCCTCCTCCTTCCCGACCCCCCTTCACTCCTTCACGTCGCCCTGACAACAGATCGCTACACCCTATCTTCATCACCTCACTTTCCCTCCCTCCCTCCCTCCCTCCTTCAATCCCTAGAGCCCATTCTCCTCCTTCCCTCTTAGCCACTATCCTCTCTCCTCATCCCCCCCCTGCACAACGCCCGGACCTCTGGACACCAACGTCCCACCAACACCACTGCTATCCTCCCTCACACTCTCTCCTCCACACCTCCCTTTCTCCATTCTCTCCATCACCATTTTTCCCTCCTCCCATCATCACTCTCCGTCCATCACCACCATCCCTCCCTGCGTACTCCTTCATCCCACCCTCATCACTCTTCTCCTTCATCACCACCAGTCTCCATCCTTCACCACCATCCTTCCTCACCACCACCTCCTCACCCTCCTCCCTCCACACACCTCCCTCATCACCACTGGGAGAATCACCAGCTTTTCCATCACTGTTGAGACCAATTCTTGAGCATTAGCAGAGAGAAGGAGGGAGGGTGAGGTGGGGGGGAGGGTCATGACAGTCCTCACCCCCACCTCCAAACCCGCGAGAGGGAGAGGGAGGGGAGGGATAATGAGTGGCAGGGAGAAGTGGGGGAGAGGGATAAGGGAAAGAGGAGGGGAGCGTGAGGCAAACAGGACACACACATACACAGAGAGAGAGAGAGAGAGAGAGAGAGAGAGAGAGAGAGAGAGAGAGAGAGAGAGAGAGAGAGAGAGAGAGAGAGAGAAGAAGAAGAAGAAGAAGAAGAAGAAGAAGAAGAAGAAGAAGAAGAAGAAGAAGAAGAAGAAGAAGAAGAAGAAGAAGAAGAAGAAGAAGGAAGAAGAGGAAGAAAGAAGAAGAGGAAGAAAAGAAGAAGAGGAAGAAAGAAGAGGAAGAAAGAAGAAAGAAGAAAGAAGAAGCAGAAGAGGAAGAAAGAAGAAAGAAGAAGAAGAAGAAGAAGAAGAAGAAGAAGAAGAAGAAGAAGAAGAAGAAGAAGAAGAAGAAGAAGATTGCAATTATACCCACCAGGACGAATGATAACAAGACAAATAAAAACATTAAAGAGGAGGATGGAAGACAAGGAAGAGGAGGAAGAAAGGTAAGAGGAGGGGGATGGAGAAATGGAGGAGAGAGATAGAGGAAAAACTGAGAAGGAGATAGGGAGGTGAAGGGGAATGGGAGGGGTGGGAGGGGTGAGATAATGGGAAGGAAGTGTGTAGTGGGTGAGGGTCGTATGTGGGGGGTGAGGGTCGTAAGGGGGTGAGGGTCATATGTAGGGGTGAGGGTCGTGTAGGGGTGAGGGTCGTATGTAGGGGGTGAGGGTCGTATGTAGGGGGTGAGGGCGGCATGGGGGGTGAGGGTCGTATGTAGGGGGTGAGGGTCGTATGTAGGGGGTGAGGGTCGTATGTAGGGGGTGAGGGTCGTATGTAGGGGGTGAGGGTCGTATTTAGGGGAGGGTCGTATGTAGGGGTGAGGGCCGCATGGGGGTGAGGGTCATGTAGGGGTGAGGGTCGTATGTAGAGGGTCATGTAGGGGGTGAGGGCATGTAGGGGTGAGGTCGTATGTAGGGGTGAGGGTCGCATGTAGGGGGTGAGGGTCGCATGTAGGGGTGAGGGTCGTATGTAGGGGGTGAGGGTCGTATGTAGGGGTGAGGGTCAGGGGGGTGAGGGTGGCAAGGGGTGAGGGTCAAGGGGTGAGGGTCAAATGTAGGGGTGAGGGTCGTAGGGGTGTGAGGGTCGCATGTAAGGGGTGAGGGTCCCATGTAGGGGGTGAGGTCGCATTAGGGTGAGGTCATGTAAGGGGTGAGGGTCGTATTTAGGGGTGAGGTCAGTAAAGGGGCTGCATTTAGTGAGGGTCGTATGTAGGGGGTGAGGGTCATGTAGGGGTGAGGGTCGTATGTAGGGGGTGGGGTCAAGTGTAGGGGTGGGGCCGGCGTAGGGGGTGAGGGTCATGTAGGGCGTGAGGGTCATGTAGGGGGTGAGGGTTGTGCGTAGGGGGTGAGGGTCATGTAGGGGTGAGGGTCGTATAGGGGTGAGGGTCGTATGTAGGGGTGAGGGTCATGTAGAGGGTGAAGGTCGTATTTAGGGTGAGGGTCACATGTAAGGGATAAGGGTCATATGTAGAGGGTTAAGATGTAAGGGTCATGTGGAGGGGCGTGGTGGTGGTAGGGGGAGGCCATGTGTGTTGGGGGAGGGGTAAGGACAGTACCAGGAAGAGGGGACGGATGTGTCGGAGGGGAGGTGATGGTGACTAGGAGGTGAGAGACCCGTGGGTGGGGGGAGGGGGAGGGTTAGACAAGAGCCGAGGAGGAGGAGGGGAGGGGGGTGAAGGGACGGTCGTGGAAGCTGGGCGGGGGTGGGGGTAAGAGAGAGAGAGAAACAGAGAGAGAGAGAGAGAGAGAGAGAGAGAGAGAGAGAGAGAGGTGATGGGAGGAGAGGGGAGGGACAGAGGTGACGAGAGGGGAGAAGAGAGGTGACTGGGGTGGGAGGGCGGGGAGGGGAGAGAGGGCTGCTGGGTTCAAGAGGGAAGTAGAGGAAGAAAGGCACTTCTGAGGCGAAAGTGTGATGAGAGAGAGAGAGAGAGAGAGAGAGAGAGAGAGAGAGAGAGAGAGAGAGAGAGAGAGAGAGAGAGAGAGAGAGAG